TGCATGTAGTGCCTGCAGAGGTTAGAAGAGGCCATCAGATCCCCCTGGAAATGGAGCTAGACAGTTGTGAGCTGCCATGTGGACGCTGGGAATTGAACTCATGTCCTCTGGAAAGCAGCCAGAGCTCTTAACCGCTGAGTTGTCTCTCTGTGCTCTCACCAGCATTAAACAAATATTATGTATGGGGTGTTGAACATGCTGTAGCATGAGTGTGAAGGTTAGAAGACAACTTAGTGGGATCAGTTCTCACCTTCTACTTTACATGACTGTGAGGGACCAAACTCACATTGTTAGGCAACAAGAGCCTTTGTTCTTTGAGCCATTCTGTAGGCTTTTTAATTTTGTTTATTTGGTTTAGTTTTTGGGGTAGGGACAGGGTCTCTCTTCATAGTTCTGGCTGTTCTGAAACTCACTATATAAGTCAGTCTGATATAAACTAGCCCTGAACTCAAAGAGATCTGCCTGCCTCTGCCCTGAATGCTAGAATTAAAGGTGTGTGCCACCATGCCCAGCTAAATGTTTTTTAAACTGGGCATTGTAGCACATGCCTGCAGTTCCAGCACTGGGGGACGTGGAGGGAGGAATATGGAGTGTTTGAAACCCTGGGTCATGAAGCAAGACCTTGTCTGGAAAAAAAGGAAAAGAAAAAAGTACAGGGCTTGCCTAGCACACACAAAACTCTGTGTTCAATGGAACTAGTACATAAACCCGGCATGATGGCACACGCCTGTTGGTCAGCACTCTTAGTCATACACCAATTTGAAAGTTGAGAGTGCCTTGCTTGTAAAAACAGGATTCCTGTGATATTACAGCTGGCCTTGCTCAACCATTATTGGTCAGCCCCAACCTGGGGGGGAATGTTTGCTGAGATTGAACAGACAGCTCAGATCCACAGTAGCCCCTACAACTGCATGCTTCCTCATTCCGTAGTCTCCAGATAAACTCCAAATATGCTCCTTCCCTTGGTAGAGCCCCCATTCCCGGAGAAGGTTCTTATCCCTCACTGTGTGTGCTAATAAACACAGTCTTATCTGAGGAGGTCAGACTCTGGGCTCTTTCCTGCCTTTTGTCTCTGTACTCTGTGCTTCAGAATCTAACAAAGGTCAGCCTGGGCTACATGAGACCTTGCCACCTCTCTACCCCAACCCCACCGAAAGATTGGCAGTTGGTTCATTGGACCAAAACGCTTTCTGCTCAAACCTGATGACAGGAGTTCCAGCCTGGGTCTCACGGTGGGAGGAGAAGGAACTGTCCTCTGACCTTCATGAGCCCATCTTAGCTTGTACACACACAGACATACATAGGTGTTTAAAGTTCTATTTATTTAATTTCATGTACATGAGCGTTTTGCCTGTGTGCGTGTCTTTGTGCTTCATGCATGTCTGGTCTCCTTAGGGCCAGAAGAGAATGTTGGTCAAGTCCCTTGGGATTGGAGTTACAGAGTTATGAGCCCTCATACAGGTACTGGGAACCAAATCAGGATCCTCTGCAAGAGCAGCAAGGGTTCCTAACTGCTGAGTCATTGCTCAACACCACCTCCGTTTTTTTATTATTACTATTATTATTTTATTTATTTTTTTAAGAAAAAAAGGAACAAAAAACATGCTACTGAGGAAGCCAAAGATTAGAGCCCCTACCCAGCCTTGAGTACCAAGAAATGTTTCTCAGAGACCGTAAGGATCCGACAACTATGAGGTTAATCAGATGAGGCTGATGAAATGGCATGGTCAGAGAAAACACTGTTGAGCATGAAAGCACATGCTATGCCTGGACTACATATATTTTGTTTCACAAATCATTCAAAACCCATAAGTACTCAAGAAAGCAGAGACATTTAAAACACTGCAGCTTGTTTACAATGGGTAAATCTGTCAAGAGAGGAAGCAGGCTTCTGTTCTAGGTTTTCTTCTTCTTGAGATGAGAACCCATGTAGCATAGGCAGCCCTTGAACTCCCCATTCTCCTGCCTCCACCTCCCAAGGATTGAAATTACAGATGTGCACCACATCTGACATTAGTGTTTTATTTACTAATTTGAGCTAATCTATTCTGGAACTCACCGTGTACCCTAACTAGCCCCAAACCCACAGCAATCTGTGTCAGCCTCCCAAGTGCTGGAATTACAGGTGTGAGCCACCACACTCGGCTCCACCGGCTCATTCTTGTTCTCTGGAAAACAGAATCCCCCTGTAACCAGCAGCAGATACCAAGGGGACCTGGGTTATGACTGTAAAGAGCTGAATTTAAGGGCCTAGACTTGCTCCTGATATGCATACTTAATAACACTAAAGACACTCTCTGTTGTCCCCAGGCCTGCTACAGTGCCGGGCACCATCAGAGCTCAGTAAACGATTATTGGATGAATACAGTGGCCACCCAACATTCTGAAGACAAATATTACCCTTTGGAACACTATGGATAACAAAATGGTTAACTTAGCTGCAGACTTTATGTGACAGATTTGTTAAGGAGACCCCTCCTCCCAGAGCAGTGATGCCTTGAAATTGTCCAATTAATTCCACAAGCGAGCACTCCAGGTTGGTAAGGGCTGCTGATTTGATTTTATCTGTCTTTTAAGACTCATTTTTTGATCATGCCCCACTCCAGCTGGACTTCCTTGCCTAGTCTTCCCTTCTCCATTACTAATGGTGCTGGATCGAGTTACCTCATTATTCCTTAATTTATTTATGAAAAGGCTGAGGTTAAAGAGAAGAAGCAAACCCCTGAGTCTTTCGGGAACTTTCTGTAAAAGCTTTTCTTTCCCTGTCCCCCGCCCTTCAGCCAGATACAATTTCTCATCATTATCCTGGCAAGCTGGAATAGTTTTTATTTACAAACTTATATAAATAAACCTTGCTCTGGCTGGGTGGAGGCCATCTGTATGGGCTAAGTCTGGTCTGTCAATTCCCAGTGGATTAATCTATCAACAGGAATTCACTCACACAGAGCAAGCTGCTTTCAGAAAAGCACAACAACCCTAGGCAAGCTGGTGACTTTGCCACAGAACACTTGAGGGAGAGAAGGTTTTTAAAATTTAAATTGTATTATTGCACAGTAATTTGAATCACTCTGGATAAAATGGAAACACAGAACTATGTGGAGGGCCAGTGAGTTGCCTGAGTGCCTCCTGCCAAGCCTGAGGATCCAAGCTGATCCCTGACCCCCACGCTGTCCTATGACCTCCACATGAGCACCAAGCTCTAGACACAGGGTTGGAGAGATAGCTCAGTGGTTAAGAGCATGGGATGTTCTTCCAGAGGACCCAGGTGCAATTCCCAGCACTCACATGGCAGCTCATAACTGTCTGTGACTCCAGTTCCAGGGGATCTGACACCCTCACAACAATGCACATAAAATAAAATAAATTGGGGACTGGAGAGATGGCTCAGTGGTTAAGAGGTCTTCCTTAAGGTCTTCCAGAGGTCCTGAGTTCAATTCCCAGCAACCACATGGTGGCTCACAACCATCTGTAATGAGGTCTGGTGCCCTCTTCTGGCCTGCAGACATACACACAGACAGAATATTGTATACATAATAAATATTTAAAAATAAATAAATAAATAAAATAAAATAAATTGTATATAGAAAGAATCTCCAGAGACATGACATGCTCTAAGTAAAATATCTAATTTTCAAAAAAAATTAGAAGCTGGTCGGTGGTGGCACGTGCCTTTAATCCCAGCCCTCTGAAGTCATAGACAGGCAGATCTCTGTGAGTTAGTTCAAGGCCACCCTGGTCTACAGAGTGAATTTCAGGACAGGCTCCAAAGCTATGGAGAAACCCTGTGTTGGGGAAAAAAAATTAGAGACAAATAGAATCAAACAAAATTAGCTGAAAAGAAAAAAAAAATCGAATCAAAAGTGAAAGGTGGGTCAGGAGTGGTGGTATATTCCTACAATCCCAGCATGCCAGAGACAGGATTTGGGTGAGTTCCAGGCCAACCTGGTCTACAGAATGAGATACAGGTCATCCAAAACTACACAGTGAGACATTGTCTCATAAAAAGAAAAAGACACGTCTCCCCCTCCCCCCCCCAAAAAAAAACCCAGCCCAACTAAATAATAACAAGGCAAAAGGCTCCCTTTGTCTCATCCCGCCGATAGGAGGCTAAGCACTGTCCTTTACAGGCTTGTGTTCAACTTCTGGGTCCAAGGAACCCTCCAGGCTGGCATTACAGGAAACAAGAACCTTGCTTTAAGATTGATTCTTTTTTTTTTTTTTTCTAAGAATGTACTTTTTGACCTGGTGTGTGGTACTCAAATGCTTGCCTTGAACACACAAGACTCTAGGTTCCATCCTCGGCACCTGAAGCAAAATGTTCCGGTACTTGTCTAATTCTGCCTCTCTAAGTGAACTTCAAACAAGCGGCACGGAAGACATCCCTACAGGGTTCAGTCGTCTGTCCGTCCATCTAACAAACCCGGGACATTCTTCCAGGCAGACTACACGTGCACATTTCAGTAGCTGTAATTCTATTTTACAGGATAGAGGTACCTTTTTATTTATCTATTCCCTTCTAATGAGTGCTAACATAATTTCCAATTTTTTCAGTATACAGCTGTTGTAAGTAACGATTTTCTCTGGAGTTCCTCATTCAATCCACGCATTAACTGTGGCTCATCGAGTGCATCTCCTCAAGATGCCCGGCAAACAAAGGATTCCTCAAAACTCTTCAAAAAAAATATTGTTTTTTTTCTCGAGAGGTTGAAGATTGGGCTCTCGACAACCTAGAAAGCCCAGGTCACTGGGGACCCAAAGTATCAGCAGAGACTTCGCCAGGCTCCGGATCTGGGTCTTTGGCTGTCCGCAAGCTTCGCTCGGGCAGATCCGGCGAGCGCAGATCCGGCGGGGTGGGGCCGAGCTGCGCGCGACCCTCGGCGCGCTCCGGGAGTCCAGCCCGAGCGACCGCTCTGGTCACCACGGCCGCGGGCTCTATGACTCCGAAGAGGCTGGCGGAACGGGGCGGAGTCGGAGGGGAAGGCGGAGAGTGCCGGGCACCATGAGTCTCGGCGCGGAGCTCTCGCGGAACCGCGTCGCGAGAAGCAGCAAGTCCCGCGCTTGCGTACTGCGGCGGTGGCCTGAGGCGCGGTCGGCGAGTGAAGGGATCTAAGTGGTGTGAAGGCCAGCGTCGCCTCGACCTGTGGTCACCATGAGCGGGACCTTAGCGAAGATCGCGGAGATCGAAGCCGAGGTAAAGGGCGCGCTGGGCGCCTCCCTTCCCAACCGGTGCCGCTGCTCCGATGTACCGTCGACGGCGTCGCCTCGGTGCCTGCCACCAACTCCTTCCCGCTCCTTCACCCCAAGCTTGCACCGCCTCGGCTCCTTACCCCCTCCATGAGCGCCTCTGGGCCTGGGCCCCTCAGCTAACATTAGGGGGCTCCCTCTTTCACCTCCTGGCCCCATACCTAGTCCTTGGCTGGTACCCGATCCGGTATTCAGCGTAGTATGTGATGCTTGAGAAGGTCAGGGCTTTATTTTTTTAGAGGCAGGGATTCTCTGTTTAGCTTTGGAGCCTTACCTGGAGCACTCTCTGTAGACCAGGCTGGCCTCGAACTCACAGAGATCTGCTTTTGCCTCCTGAGTTCTGGGATTAAAGGCATGCACCACCACCACCCAACGAAGTTCAGGGCTTTTTAAAGTTAGTAAAATGATGATCCTGTTTTAGACCGGGTCCAGTAGAAACGAATCCTGCAGGTGGAGGTGGACATTAGTTCCATCTGTGGATAGGAATTGGAGTGACGTGGTGCTATCACATTGGGTCTCCTTTTTTTCTTTTGTAGTGAGGAAAATGAGCTGAATGGTGGGGAGAGTGAATTTAGAGCTCTGTCTGTCTATCTATCATAATCATTTATGGGGGGAGAGCAGAGCATAATTTATGGGAGTCATTCTGACCTTCTGACATAAGGATTTTGGGATTGAGTTTAGATCTTTAGGCTTGGCAGCAAGTCCACTGACTCTTTGAGCTTATTTAGTTGAACCTGGGTTTTCACCTCCCCTCACTCGTTTTTTGGAGACAAGGTCTCTCTACATAAGCCCTGGATGTTCTAGAACTATGTAGATGGGACTGGCCTTGAACGAGACAGAGAGAGACAGAGAGAAAGAGATCCACTTCTGCCTCCAGAGTGCTGGCATTAGCCAGTCTTGGATTTTTCTTTTTTAAAAAATATTTAGGCAATGCTCAGGAGGCAGAGATAGAGGCAGGTGAAACTGTAAATTCAGTGCCAACCTGGTTTACATAGGGAGTTTTAGGACCCTCAGGACTACTTAGAGAGACTCTATCCCCAAAATCCGCAAATAAATGGAATGGGCACACTGACATTAGTAGGACCTCGGAGAATAAGACATCATGCTTTCAGCTTTTGGGAAGATTCGAGATACTTTTATCTTTTCTAAGGGGCTGCAGGTTTATGGCTGTGATTCTTCCCTTATTAGATGGCTCGGACTCAAAAGAACAAGGCTACAGCACATCACCTTGGGCTGCTTAAGGCTCGCCTTGCCAAGCTTCGAAGAGAGCTCATCACTCCGAAAGGTGGCGGTGGTGGTGGGCCAGGAGAAGGTTTGTGATTCCATATATTATTTGTGTGTGTGTGCATGTGGTTTCTATTAAACTAATATGTCAGAGTTGTGTGTATGTGTATGAATGTATGTATGCCTGTATGTTTCTTTTGAGATAGAGTCTCACTGTATAGCTCTTGGCTATCCTGGAACTCACTATGTGGACCAGGCTGGCCTCAAACTCACAGAGATCCACCTGCCTCCCGAGTGCTGGAATTAAAAACATGCATCACTACGCCTGGTTTCTGTGAATGTTTTTTGTTTTTGTGACAGGATTTCTCTGTAACAGCTCTGGCTGTCCTGGAACTCCTCTCTGTAGACCAGGTTGGCCTAGAACTCACAGAGATCTGCTGGGCTCTACCTCCCAGGTGCTGGAATTAAAGGCCACCACCATGTCTGGCTACTTTATTATTACTTATTTGCCTTTTTTTTTTTTCATTTGAGGTAGATCTTACTGATTCTGGAACTCACCAGTTCAGCTGAACTAACTATGCATCAGTCTCTGAAGATCTGCCTGTAGGCCAGCAATGGGTTACGGGTGTGTATAGCTGTTGCTAGGGGTTACAGGTATGTGTAGTTGTTGCTAGGGGGCACAGGTGTGTGTAGCTGTTACTAGGCTTTTTTACGTGGGTGCTGAGAATCCACAGTCAGGTCCTCATGCTTGTGTAACATGCACACTGACTTCTAAATCATCTCCTTAGCCCCATTATTTTTAAACGTTTAAAATTTATTTTGTGTATGTAGTTAATACTTTTAGCAGGGCAGTTTTTGGTGCAAGGCTTTAATCCCAGCACTCGGGAGGCAGAGGTTGGTGGATCTCTGTGAGTTCAAGACCAGCCTGGTCTACAATACAAGTCCTAGGGCAGCCAGGGCTACACAGAGAAACCCTGTCTCAAAAAACAACAGCAACAGCAACAAAAAACTCCAAATTATTAAAGTCTATTTGTATTTTCTAAGCTTGACATATTTTGCTAGTACTGGGGATCAAGCCCAGTACCTCATACATGCTAGGCAGATGTTTTATTACTGTTCCCAGCTCTGAAGCCTAAAATTTTGTTTATTTATAAATTATTGCAGTATTGAGATTTGATCCTAGGAACCTTGTGCATGTTAGGCAGGTCTTCTACCACTGAACTACATGTCAAGTCCTTAAGCCTTAAATCCTGAATTATATTTTTTTTTATTTTAGTTTTCTGGTTTCAAAGACAACTGAGTATAATGCAAGTAAACAGTAGTTTTATTTATATCTCATGTCCCCCAAAAATAGATTTATTGAAATGGATACACCTGCAGCTTTAGTGAGGTTGAAGTAAGGAAGCTGGTGTAAAGAGATTGGACTGTGAAAGCAGAAATAGTAAACTGGAGAGAGCTGTGATTAGAACTCAAAGGAATGCGGGATATTTTGCATACTTGCTAGAAACACCCACCAACAGCTCTGAACTTAGTTGTTTCAGTGCTTGCTGTGTAGGTGTGAGAACCCGAGTTTGGATCCCAGTCCCATGGAAAAAGCTCTTCTACTTCCAGTGCTAGAAAGGTAGAGGTAGGGTTCCTGGGGCTTTCTGGTCAACAGTCTAGCTGAAGGTGAGTTCCAGGTCTTAACAGGTAGAGTAGAAATTGATCCAGGATGACATCTGATGTCAGCCTCTGACTTACACATCACAGGCTCACGAACACAGGCATAGGCACACAGAATCCCAAAAGCTGGTAACACATAGTACTTGGGACTAGAGGCAGGAGGATTGCAAGTTCCAGTGTAACCTGGACTACTCAAGTATATCCTCATCAAAAAACATGATTACACTATTCTCAGATATAAGATAAAATCCAAACCAGAGGTAGACGTAGAACTCCAAGTCCACACCCTGCTTTTTTTGTGTTTTTGTTTTGTTTGAGACAGGGTCTTTATGTAGGCCAGGTTGGAATTGACCTTTCAGAGTGCCACCTTGCTTCAGCCTCTGAATTGCTGGGATTAACACTATGTAACACTATGCCTGACTTTATTTATTTTGATATTTTAAATTTTTGTTTGATTTTATTTTTTTTCTAAACAGGGTTTCTCTGTTAGCCTTGACTGTCCTTGGAACTCACTCTGTAGACCATACTGGCCTCATTCACAGGGATCTGCCTACCTCTGCCTCCTGCGTTCAGGGATTAAAAGCATGCACCACCACTACTCAGGTGATATTTTAAATTTATGTATGTGCTTGGCATAGTGGTGCACACCTTTGATCCCAGGACTTGGAAGGAGAGGCAGGTAGATCTCTGTGACTTCCAGAGTAGCCACATCCGTATAGTAAGACCCTAGCTCAAAAAAACAAAGTGTATGTGTCTGTCTATCTGTGTCTTTGTGGTTACTTGTGTGTATGTGCACCGGTGCTTTCAGAGGCCATAAGAAGGAATCACATCTCTTGGAACTGCACTTAAAGCTGCTTGATGTGGACGTTAAGAACCAAGCCTGGGTTTTTTTGTTTTTGTTTTTGTTTTTGTTTTTGTTTTTACAAGAGCAGCAAAGAGCCATCTCCAACTCCTGTGTTATTTTTTTGGGTGGGTGGTTGGGTGTTTTGCCTGAACATATATATCTTATGTACTCTGTGTGTGAAGTGTCCCTGGAGGCCAGAAGAGCATATCAGATCCTTTGGATCCTCTGGGACTGGAGTTACAGATCACTGAGAGGTGCCTTGTGAGTGCTAAGGATTGAGTCTGGGCCTCTGCAAGAGCAGTAGTGCTCCAGCCACAGCATATTGTGGTTTTGAGAGATGACCTCAGATATTCCAACCTGACCTCCAAACTTGGGATCCTTCTGCTTTTTACCTCCCAACCACTGGGATTACAGGTATATATCACCATACCTGGCTAACCTTCATTATTTAAATATTATATAAAAAACTGTTATAATTTAAGTAATAAAGGATTACCTTGTTTTAATTAAGTACTGCATTAAATTGAATTGTAAATTTTATGCTTGAGTTCTATTTCAGAAATAAGCCTCAGAAAGTTAGAGAAACATTAACAAAAATGTGCAAGGACTTAGGTGAGTAGTAATGCATCCAAGGATAACTGCTGTCTTTTGATGTTTGTTAATGTTTCAGGTTTTGATGTGGCTAAGACAGGTGATGCTCGAATTGGCTTTGTGGGTTTCCCATCTGTGGGGAAGTCAACTCTGCTAAGCAACCTAGCAGGAGTGTATTCTGAAGTGGCAGCGTATGAATTCACTACTTTGACCACTGTGCCTGGTGTCATCAGATATAAAGGTGCCAAGATCCAGGTGAGTAAGATTCGCGGCCCGAGAAAGGAGAGAAATCCATTGTTTTCATGCATTTCAGAAGTTCTTTATTAGTGGTCCACAGTGTGTCAGGTCTTTTTATTTCCTAGGCCTCTTGGTTTTTCAAGACAGGGTTTCTCTATATAGCTTTGGAACCTGTCCTGGAACTCACTTTTTAGACCAGGCTGGCCTTAAACTCAGAGATCCGCTTGCCTCTTTGAGTGCTGGGATTAAAGGTGTTTGCCATCACTGCCCGACTGGCCCCTCATCTCTTAACAGTTGCTACATTAAATGGTTTAACAATAGTGTAATACTGGGCGGTGATGGTGCATGCCTTTAATCCCAGCACTCGGGAGGCAGAGGTAGGCGGATCTCTGTGAGTTCAAAGCCAGCCTGGTTTACAAGAGCTAGTTCCAGGACAGGCTCTGAAGCCACAGAGAAACCCTGTCTCGAAAAACCAAAAGAAAAAAAAAAAACCAAAAAAACAAAAAACAATAGTGTAATATAATGAAGACGGGCCTATGAGGATACATTAAAAAAAGGGACTACTTTTTTAATCTGATAATGGTGGGAAAGCATCGGAGACAAAGCTTTATGTACAAAGTGACTTTTGGAAGTGAATTTTTAAGATTTTATGTGTATGGATATTTTGCCTACATGCATATATGTATATTTGTGCATCATGTGCATGACTGGTGCATAAACTCCCTGGAACAGACAGTCCTGAGCTGCCATGTGAATGCCAGGAATTGAACTCGGGTCCCGTAGAGGAACACCCAGTGTTCTTAACCACTGAACTATTTCTGTAGCCCCAAAAGTGAGTCTTTTTTTTTTTTAGATTTATTTATTTAAAAATATTTATTTATTTATTATGTATACAATATTCTGTCTGTGTATGTCTGCAGGCCAGAAAAGGGCACCAGACCCATTACAGATGGTTGTGAGCCACCATGTGGTTGCTGAGAATTGAACTCGGGACCTTTGGAAGAGCAGGCAATGCTCTTAACCTCTGAGCCATTTCTCCATCCCTAAAGATTTATTTATTTAGTATGTGTAAAGCATTCCTTCCATGTATGCTTGCACACCAGAAGAGGGCACCAGATCTCATTATAGATGGCTGTGAACCACCATGTGGTTGCTGGGAATTGAACTCAGGACCTCTGGAAGAGCAGTCAGTGCTCTTAACCTCTGAGCCATCTTTCCAGGCCCAGAAATGAGTCTTTTGAGAAAAGATCTTATATAGTCAAGGCTGGCTTGAACTCCAGGTTTGTCCTTGCTTTAGCCTGTGAGGTGCTAGAATTATAAGTGTTTGACGCCACACCTGGTTGGCAGGGTGTCTTGAAGTTAGCATATGTTTTTCTGTTTCTGTGATAAAACACCATGACCAAAACACAAGTTGGGGAGGATAGACTTTTTTTTATTTGTCTTACACTTCCATATCACTGTTCATCTTTGAAAGAAGTCAGGACAGGAACTCACACAGGGTAGGATCCTGGAGGCAGGAGCTGATACAGAGGTCAGCTGTAGGGGTGCTGCCTACTGTTTTGCTTCCCATGGCTTGCTCAACCTGCTTTCTTACAGAATCTAGGACCACCACCCCAGGGATGTAACCACCTACAAAGGGCTGGGCTCTCCCTTATTAATTACTAAAGAAGAGAATGTCCTACAGGCTCACTAATAGTCTGATTTTCTCAGTTCAGATGCTCTCCTTTCAGGTAACTCTGACTTGTGTCTTGTTGACAAGAGACTAGCCTGCACAGCATAGAATTTGACCAGCCAGAAAAATAAAGGTACATTTAAGGCAGCTATCGCATGTCTTTAATCCCAGCACTCTAGAGGCAGAGGCAGACAAATCTTCGTTAGTTCAAGGCCAGCCTGATCTACATAGTGAGTTCCAGGATAGCCAGGGCTAGGTAGAAAGACTCTGTCTCCAAAGAAAAAGAATTAAAAACAGACAAACCAATAAAAAACAATGGTGCTGGTACATCTTATAATGACTAGATATCAGGTATCTTAGAGGTAGGTTGAGATTGAATTTATATAGGGCCTTTGTATATGCTAAGGCAGCTTACCTTTATCTTTAGAAGACTTGAACATTAAATTACATATTTTACTCTAAAGGCACATGAGTTTCTGTAACCCTGGCTATCCTGGATCTTGCTCTGTAGACCAGGCTGACCTTGAACCTTTAGCCTCTGTGTGTTCCGCTCCCCAATGCTGAGATTAAAGGTGTACACTGCCACCACCTGGCTTTAATTTTCTTTTTTCAGTTTAATGTAAAAAATAATGTGTTTTGTTATTGCGTCATCATTGGTGCATGCTATTATGCTTTGTTCTCTTCTGTCCCCTCCCCTGCTCCCTGTACTTCTGCCTTCCTGCTCCTTTCCTTTTCCTCCTTAGTTAATCCTGATTCCTGCTTTCATTTACTTTGTGGATTCTGCTGCCCTCTGTTTCCTACCCCTTTCCCTCATCTCACAGTCTCCTTTCTAGTTTTGTGACTCCCCTCTTATATCGCTACACACATATACACACACACACAATTTTAAATCTACACTATATGAGAGAAAACATGAGGTATTTGTTTTGATCTCTTAATATTTTTCAGTTGCATCCATTTTCCTGCCAGTGTCCTGATTTCATAACTGCATGATATCCTGTTTTGCATAATATGTTTCACATTTTTACATGTTTATCTGCTGATGAACAGACACATAGGCTGCTTCTTTGGTTAGTAGTGAATGAATAGTACAGCATATATTTATATATTTTAGTAATAAAGGATTTACTAATCGATAGAAATAGTTGATAGATTCGTTGGATGGCTTAAAGAAATATTAGAAGGGCTGAAGACTTACTAATCACTTGTTAGTTACTTTATTATTTATTTATTTATATATTTATTTTTGAGACAGGGTGTCTCTGTATAGCTCTGGCTGTTAAACTCACGTTGTAGACCAGGTTGGCCTACAATTAAGCGATTTGCCTGGCTCTACTGGGATTAAAGCATGTGCCATTGTGCCTTCCTTTACTTGTTAATTATACTAAGTGATCGCGAACTTTTTTTAACTTGTGTTTTGTTTTTATTTCATTTAAACACTGCCTGGCCAATTAGTTATAACCTCTTATTGGCTAGCTCTTACATATTGATTCAACCCATTTCTATTAATGCGTGTTGCCACCTGACTGTGGCTTACCGGGACGAGTCTAACCGTGGTCCATCTCGGGGAGGAGAGCTATGGCGTCTGACTGCCTCTGCTTTCTTTCTCCCACAATTCTGTTCTGTCTACTCCACCCACCTAAGGGCTGGCCTATCAAAAAGGCCAAAGCAGTTTCTTTATTAACCAATGAAAGTAACACATAGACAGTTAACCCTCCTCCATCATTTCCCCTTTTTCTGTTTAAACAAAAAAGAAAGGCTTTAACTTTAACATAGTAAAATTACATACAACAAAACAGTTATCAAGCAAGAATTGCAGTTACGATATTTTTATCTATTTTATCTTTTATCATAACTAAGGAAAACTATAACTATAACTAACCATTCTTCAACTCCATCAAAGACCCCAGAAGGATATAATATTATCTAAGTAAACAAGAAATAAGCAACTTCCAAAACTCTAGAAATGACAGAGACATCTCGCTGCCTGGACAGTCACCCAAAGTTCTTTTGTGCTGTTGGGGCATCCGTCTTCAGCCTTCAGGCCCATAGGAAATTTCAAAGACAGTTCAGTCACTATCTGCTGTGTCCTGCAGAATGTCTTGCAGACTCTTTCATGAATCAGGAACCCCGGAGGATCATTTCGCCTTTAGGCAAGTTCAGCAGTCCTCTCTCTGCAGATTCTTTGTGTCCAGTTTATGCAACAGTCCAGGCAAGAGCAGTTTCTTGCCCAGATGGCTATCAAACTCCATAAGGAGCCTCTTCAATGCCCATCTTCCTCTTGAAGTAGATTTGTGCTGCCAGGAGCAGACATGTCTCATTGTCATGAAAAGCCCTAAGTTATAAAAACATTAAATGCCATATTCTGAAGTCTTTGAAAGATATGAAGGATGCCTATCTAACTGAAATATATCTTTATATAGCTAGAAAATCTAACTAACATGACTACAAGATTGACTATTATTGATAATTATCCATTAACAACCTATATTTCCTAATTATACATTACATTTTTAAATGAACTACACAATCACAATACCTTAATCAAGATCAGAAATACATATACATATAACAAAATTGACCTTAAATTCCATACCAATGCAAATTATTCATATTTATATCATATCCCCCTTTAAATGTAAAAGAACATTTATAAACAATATTTGGGAATATGGACGCAGTTATTTCTGTCCAAACTGCTTCGTGCTGAATGGGGGCGCTGTTAATCGGATCTTTCATGGTAAAACCTATGTGCTAGGTTCATCTCAGTTGGCAGTTGAATGAAGTAATTTCTTGAGGGTGTTCACAGCAACCTTTCAGGAGGACGTGATCTATCATACCATATTGGGATAGAAACAATCCACAGGGTCTCATCCTCTGTGAAAACAAAAGAAGACCCTCTCCAAAGCATCATATCCTTAGACCCAAATTCTGAAGTCATTATACCCTTATGATATCTATTCTGGTTTAGCTTGGCAGCCCATATAATGAAATGTTTCTCTGTACTTAGCTCCTTCACAATCAAAAATTTTAAAGAAAAGACAATGTACATAATCCAGACTCTCTGTGAATTTTCCATTTTTGCGTGGCTTATTTTCCTTTATTTAAGACATTAACTTTATTCTCTATATTCCTTTTCTTCTCTCTCCCAAGCCTATGTACACTCATCTAACACTGTGACCCATTTAGAGGTCTTTTAAGTCTGAATCTGTCCTATTGTGAATCTGTAATTTTTTACTATCTAAGAGTATTTTTGTTTTGCAGTTTTAAATCACTAAACACTTAAGAATCTAAAGCTGTGACATTCCTAGGTCAAAAACAGGTACTGCCTGCTTGCCCCACCGAG